AAATACGTAATATTTTTTATTATATGTATTTAAAAAATATTTTTTTTAAAAAAAAAAAAGTATTATGGTTTACATAATTATGTTAAACTACAAAGTAATTTGGAATCTTAAATTGAAAAGTATAATATAAAAGTAAGTCTTATATTGAGATAATTTAAAAATGAAACCCTCAAGTGAAAAAAGTTCAAAATATAGGACTTGTTATGACACAATACCTAAAAATCAGACCTTACAATAGAATTTCCCCTTTGTTAAATTATCGGTAGTTAATTAATGATGATTTTGCGTCTATGTTTTTGTTTAAATTATTATATATATTAAAAACTATTATTAAGTTAACCACAAATTTTACCAATAAACTATTTAACTAGTAGTTCGACCGATTCAATGATCGATTCTCAATTTTGAGAACTTCAAATACACCTAATCTTAGGTTGTCATTTATGATTAGTGGTACCCTGGCGTGGCTTAAAAAAGTTGTACCAACAATCAATATGACGTGTCCTGGTCAACTAAGCCAACGTACAATACAAAGCTCCTCTCACGGTAATTTTTTGCCTAATTTCATTTTTTTTTTTTAAATAAAATTTCAGCGACGTATAACATTATATTTTAATTATAATTCAGGCTGTAAAGTATATTTTCCATGATAATACATCAGAGCACAAATTGGCTAGTCTAATTTGTACCTTGTAATATTTTATTTTATTTTATTGGGATCCAAAAGTTGTACCACCAGCAAATTTGGTTTGGATTCTCCACTATGTGGGCCAATGGACCAGTCCCTAGAGCAGTTGTCCAATAACCTCTTCCTTTTTGAAATGAAATTAAAATTAAGAATGAAATAAGATCCAATATGATTTTCAAACAAATTGTTCATGCAATTTAACGAAATGTGGGTCCTTATTCATTAGTTACCGTTAAACATTGTATATCGATAGAAAAAAAAAACAAAAAACAAAAAAAATAGTGGGCCTTATGGAAGGTTCGTTTTATATAATTACAATTTACACATAGGACTAATTTGTATAATTTTCAAATATAAAATCATCGTTCTTAATTATAAATTGTCGTTGGGGGAAGCTAGATCATGATAGCATCGGGGTGTTGTACCCCCGATAAATTCTAACATAGGCTTTTGGCCTCTTCTTTTGTACAAAAAAAAAACTTTGACTTGAGGGGGTTAGTCAAAGTTTTAAACACAATTTTTTTTTTTTGGATTGAGTCGATCTAATCGATCATGCATTTGTAATAATAATAAATAGTTATGCTATGATATGTGACGCAAGAGAAACGTACGATGGGAAAATAAGAACTCACAAAGGGAACTCAAGAGATAAATTATTTCATACGATGTCTGCTTTACAATGAGAACTCATCCCCATTTAAATAGACTTCCAAACCCTAGACTTATTTAGTAATAGATATCCTAAATCATAAATAAAAAGAAATAAATAAAAATAAATAAAAGTGCTATAAATAATAGGTAACTAAATATGAAGGCGATCGAACTTGTCCAGATAAGCCAATGCGATCTCAGTCGACGGCTTCTCCAGTTTTGTTTCTTTCACGCTCGGCTTTTCAGGAGGAAATGCGTGAGGCCCCGGTGGTCTTCTTGCTTTTGCTTACCGAGTCTTCCGTGGACCTTCTTACACCGACAGCCCTTCAGCCTTTATTGGATGAGTTCGCGGATGTCTTTCCTTCTGCTTTGCCTGCCGGGCTACCACCGTTGCGCGATATTCAGCACCACATTGATTTGGTGCCGGGAGCAATCCTGCCTAATCGACCACATTACCGTATGAGTCCTGCCGAGCACGAGGAGTTGCGC